GTCAGAAGTGGATGGAGTGCGTTCGGCAGAAAAGCGCTGCATCCAGGGCGTCGCTCGGTCCGAAGCACCCTGGACAGACTGAACGAACTCCCGCTGGCGCTGCCCCTGCGGAGGTCCGCGCGGATTTCTTGGATCGGCGCTTGGGCCCCCCTGGCGGCGGTTTTCCAGCCTCGGGATGCTCTCCAGCCGCTGCGCCTCGCCGAGAGCGTTCTGGGGGTACCCGGATCGTCGAGCGGCCGCCAGAGGCTAGGTCGGGCATGTCCTCCTACAGGCGGGTTTTGGCAGAAACGTGAAACATAGGCAACACATGCTCCCCAACAGTCGAACATAATATAAAGAAAACGTCCCCAGGCTATTTTTCACAATTCCTGAATATTCCTCCCGAGGAGGGACATGCCCGACTTCTTTGGACGCCCGACATGGGTACGGAACAAATGGGGACAATGCCCAACAACAAATGTTGTCCCAAACAGGCCGCGGCGGCGCGGACAGCGAGCCCTGCTCACAATGCTCAGGAACCGCTGCTGGGCATCGTGCTCCTCCCCTCCGTGCCCATGTCGCTCGTGCCGAACTTCAGGCTGGAGTGCTGGCCCGAAAGCCGCCGGCCCGACCGCTCCAGAGCACGCCGCTCGGACCTCGAGGAGGAGGAGGAGGAGGAGGAGGAGGAGGAGGAGGAGGAGGAGGAGGAGGAGGAGGAAGAGGAGGGGGGAGGAGGAGGGGGGAGGGGGGAGGAGGAGGAGGAGGCTCCGCGGGGCACGCGCCGACCCCCCGCTCGCCCGAGAGGGTCGTCGGCAGGGGGCCCGAGGGCCCACTGCCCGCGCAGGAGGGCCCGCGGCTTTGCCGTCGGGGGTCTGCCGCCCATCCTGCCGGCGACGCGTCGCCGACTCGGACTCGATGCTCGAGGAGGAGGAGGAGGAGGAGGAGGAGGAGGAGGAGGAGGAGGAGGAGGAGGAGGAGGAGGTGGAGGAAGGGGAAAGAGGAGGAGGGGAGGGGAAGGATCGTGAGCTTGAGGGGGGACGGGAGAGGAGGACGTTCTCTAGGAGGAGGAGGGTATGAGCGCGGCGGTCTACTTGTTCGATGTAGGAGGAGGAGAGGGGGGGAGGAGGCGAGGGAGGTAGGGAGTACAGCGGGGCGGGGGGAACAGTAGACCATGATCAAATCCGGACCATGCGGCGGCGGGGTTCAGCCCGGTTAGGGTAAATGACACCGCGCGGTACACTCGCACGAGAGGACCCCGTCGAGTGTCTGCGCGCACCCGCGGGTGGCCCAGGACAGAACGGCTGCCGGCTGTGCGGGCGACCTCCGTCCACCGGGAGGTGCTGAATGAAGTCGGTCGCCGCTCCCTCGTGGTCGTGGTCGTGGTCGTGGTCGTGGTCGTGGTCGGGCGACCTCCGTGGCCGAGGATCATCTCGCGCCCTCTTCGGGCAGCCCGAGCTGCGTCTTTCGCTCTTTTTGGTTTTTGGTTGGGGGGGCAGGGGAGGAGTGCGCAATCACAAGGTTTCAACTCGCTGGGGATGACGCCACAATGCGAATCTGAAGCTGCTGCCTTAGCTGCGCCTCCTCCTGCTCCCCGCTCCTACCCCTCCCCCCCAAGGGCGCATTCTCAAACCAACGCCGACTCCGTCCGCCAATCCGTGAGGCAACTTTGGAAATCAACGAGAGGGTAGTGCAGGAGGCACGCAGCACCAGTGAGTCCCCGATGAAGCTCTGTGCTGCAATATTCCTGGGGAGCGACGAGGTGGAAAAGGAAGACGAGTCCAGGACAAGGACAACATCGGACAGGGATACATCGGGGATCTATGAGATCCAACGGTCCTGGAAAAAGTATCAGGCGCCGAGGCCTTCTAGAGCGTTCCAGAACGCCCAGAGAGCATTCTGGAACTCTCTGGAGCGACTTATCTCGGTCCCAGCCCCGTCCGAAGATTCCTGGGCAGGGCTGGTGGAAACAGGAGGGAATAATGCAACATAACATTTGAGGGGATGCACTCCGGCCTGATTGCGGAGGACACACGGGGGTACACATCCCTCTTTAGAGGGCAACTTATGCTGCAAATGCAGAAGAAAACATGCAACGTCGTAGACAAGACGCAGGAACGCCCTTGTTTTTTACAGGGCCGACATAATACGGTGAGGGCATTGGATACGGAACCTGTGGATCATGTATGTAGGTCCTGGAAGCCGCCGCCCTCGTCAGATAAGGCATCCTACAGGGTCTGACGCCTCCTGGGCACATTCCTTGACGAACGCCCCCGCCTCCGTATATAAGCAGACCCTGGTGTGGGTTGAGTGAAGGGGGAGGAGGAGGAGGAGGAGGAGGAGGAGAAGGAGGAGGAGGAGGAGGACAGTGAGGACAGTGCCGAGAGCGTGCAGGTGAATCACGAACACGCCTCGAAAAGGAAAGGGACGAGAGAGAGACCCTCAACCAACAAGGGGCACTCTCCGCGCCGTGCGCGGGGCCGGGGAGCAACGGTGCGAGGGTCACTAACGGCGCACCGCCGGGCAGTCCCCACTCGCACCGCGCCCCCCATTGGGAAGACAAACCCACGCCTGTACTTCCGCCCACTATGCAGGTGCCTCGGGCTCGGGCGCCTGCTGCGGCATCGCAGGCTCCCCGAGCTCCGAGAAGACGAGCGGCTCGAGGGGCTCGCCCGTCTTGGGATGCAGGCCCCTTCGAGCCTGCTCGAGCATCGACGAGATGGCTCCGTCCCCCCCACTCCCAGCTCCCGCCGACCCCGTCCCAGCCCTCTTGCACGCTCGAGACAGGCCGACCGACAGCCGATTGGGGCGCACAGCGTGCGCCCCGCACTTTACACAGATCAAAACTCGATCCAAGGCCTGGACCTGGCGTCCTGGCCCGACCTCCTGGGGGTCGCATGCGCGGGAGGCCAGAGACTTCAACGACGAAGCCGTCGCTGCAAGCCTCCAGCAGGCACGACAGCGAATCGCTCCCCCAGCGAAGACCACAAAGTCGTGATCGGTCGGCCGCCGCGGACGGCGGGGCCGAGAGACAGCCTTCGGAGGCGCACGGAGTATCGGGGTGGAGAGGCGGGCCACGCGCTCGGCAGCCCAGGCCAGACAACGCATCGTGTCCTGGGCCCGAAGCAGAGAAAATTTGTGAGCCTTGACCACGGAGGTGGATCCAAGGAAATCTGCCGCGGCCACTCGGGCGAAAACATCGGCCCACATATTACCGAAAAAATGCTCCAGGGGCTCCTGGGAAGCCAGGCAGGCATCAAACCCCTCGATGACGGTCCGATGGGCCTTCGTCCAAACAAACACGGGCCTGACAGGGTCGCCTCTATACAGCTCGTGGATGCTCCGCCAGATGGACGCGTGAGGCGCTCTGGCAGAAGCATGACGACCCTCCCAG